CGCCTCTTCAACCCCCTGCAGCTGTAAGGGCACCGCTGCCCTCGCCCCCTCCTTGCCCTCGCCCCCTCCTTGCCCCCTCCTCGCCCAACTCGCCCCCTCCTCACCCTCCTCCTCCTCTCTGGCAGGGACGAGGGCCGGGCCCAGCGCTGCAGCCAGGTGTTGCTGGACGCCCCCATCCAGCTCTCCCAGATCACCGATGGATATGGTGAGTGGCACACACAGACACCCCACCCCCAGAGACCCCCAGCCACGCATCGTGTGTCCCCCCACAGCTCCTGCCCCGCTCTCAGGGTGCTGGCAGCAAGGGCAGGCTCAGGGCCTGGCGCGTGCACTCGCCTGGCCTCATGGAAGCGGTTCCCCCTCCGGTCCCTTTGGGCTCCCCCTCGCAGGTGCACCCCTCTGTCTCTTCCTGCTGCTGAGCTGTCACCAGCAGCAGCCAGCTGGCCACAGGGCAAGCTGGGGTGGAAGGAGAGGAGCCACCCTTTGGTCCCCTCGTCCTGTGGGAGAGGGGACGGTCCTGCCTGGTTGTGGGCAGCCACTACAGCAGCGCTTGGTGGAGCCTCCCTGGAGCACATGCTCACCAACCCGATGGTCTCATTGCAGCAGACGCCAGCGTGGACCTGCTGCCGGGGCTGTTGCTGAAGAGAGGCCAGACCTCGGTAAGTGAGGGGCCGTGCCCTCGTTTCAGAGCCAGCGGACCCAGTGGGAGCAATGAACGCATGGGGCTGCAGGTGCCCTGCTCCACTCCAGTCACCTCACCCTCAGCAAGCAGCCAGGACGGGCAGTCGTCCTGGCTAGGGGCACAGCTGCGGGGGGTACTGCTCCTCCTCGTCAGGCTCACTGTAATTTGGGAAACTCTTGACCTTGGTCTGGTAAAGAGGCTCAACAGGAGTTAACGGCTTATTAATTTGACAAGGTCTATTCTTCCATAACTTCCTAATGAGCTTCAAAGCATGGTTGGTGCAGTGGTGGTGCTCAGAGTGCAGCTTCTCTGACTTTCTCAAGGGCCTTTGGCTTCTACAGCAAGGCCTTTGACTGAGAAAATAGGATATACTGGGATGGCATCTTGCCATTCTCAATGAGAGATAAAATCCTGGCTAATGAGTAGATGTGGGGACGTTACAGATGAGGAGCTAGCAGGGAGCAGCTCTTTTCCAGAGAGCTGCTGCAGGGAGGTTGTAAGCCCAGCTTTAGAAACAGCTGCAGGTTGTCGTGGTTTGAAAAATAAGACCAGGAGCAGAGAAGCAGCCAGGACGGGCAGTCGTCCTGGCTAGGGGCACAGCTGCGGGGGGTACTGCTCCTCCTCGTCAGGCTCACTGTAATTTGGGAAACTCTTGACCTTGGTCTGGTAAAGAGGCTCAACAGGAGTTAACGGCTTATTAATTTGACAAGGTCTATTCTTCCATAACTTCCTAATGAGCTTCAAAGCATGGTTGGTGCAGTGGTGGTGCTCAGAGTGCAGCTTCTCTGACTTTCTCAAGGGCCTTTGGCTTCTACAGCAAGGCCTTTGACTGAGAAAATAGGATATACTGGGATGGCATCTTGCCATTCTCAATGAGAGATAAAATCCTGGCTAATGAGTAGATGTGGGGACGTTACAGATGAGGAGCTAGCAGGGAGCAGCTCTTTTCCAGAGAGCTGCTGCAGGGAGGTTGTAAGCCCAGCTTTAGAAACAGCTGCAGGTTGTCGTGGTTTGAAAAATAAGACCAGGAGCAGAGAAGTTTGGAAGCAGTTACGCTTCATGGCCTGGAGGAAGTTGGAACATCTTTGCCAACAAAACATGTGGCTGCTTAGGAGTGAGCTGGCTTGCCCATTGTGTTGGATGTGCCAAAGTTTGGGTACGGGTGAGGTGTGGTGGTTGCGCATCTGCAAAGCAAAGGTGGTGGTAGCTGTACAGGGTGGGCAGTCTTTCTGCCAGGCTGGTCTCTTGCAGAGCTCTCCCTTCCTGGGGTAACATGTTGAGGACGAGAACCCCTCGCTTGGAGGCTGAGACCTAACATGATCCCCACGTATCTGAATGGGAGCCTTAAGTGAAAGCTGGCAGCTGCTGCTGGTTTTGGCTCTGGAGTTGTTGCTGCTGGGTTCGCTCTCTGGTCTCACATCCGCAGCTCAAAAAGGATCTTCAGAAAAATTTGAGACTATTCAGAGAAGGTCTCGGGAGGCCTCTCAAGTTCTGGAGGACACATCTTACTGGGAGATTCAGGGAGCTCGGCATAGTTTACAGAGTGACTCAATCTGTCTGTAGGTATGGGGTCACACCTCCAGTAACAAGATGCTCTTCAGTCTAGCATGCAGGTCTGTAATATCCTCTGGTGGCTGCAGAGTTGCCTTGAAATATCTAGGAGTGTTTTTGGTCAGCCACAAATATTTGACTTGATGCAAGAATAAGCTGGAGTGGGCTGAGAGCCCGGCCAAGACCAGAGGCCAGGTTAAAACACTTGGCTACTCCTTGCCTTCACGTTTAATTAAATGCTTTTTGTCTCTGTCTTGATTGATCCACCATGTAAGCTGACTTTGTTCCAAACTGGCTAAAGTTTAACATGCCTCATGGTCTAGGACGAGGGTGGGCATAGGGGGTAGGGGAGGAGGCACAGGGGTAGCAGGTTGCTGCTGTTGGAGTGACTTGGCTGACCCAGGTCCCTGGAAGTAGAGAAACTGTCCATATGTTAGGCTCAGCCAAACCCTTTGCCTTGCTGAGGCAAAACTGTTGTGTATGAGCAGTTGATTTAGGTTTTCATTCCTGAAGTGACTTCCTGGCATGATTAGCTTCCTCAAAATGTGCTTGAATCTCTCCCAGTTCCCCTGTCCTACCCCCCTCCTGCTCCCCCTCCCTTCCTTCCAGGCATGAGGCGTTGATTGATCTCTTTTTCTCGTGGAGTTAGGCTTTTGGGGCTTTTGCTGAAAATGCTCTCTCTTTAAACTCTCTGCTTTGTGCCCCAGATGGTGAATGCGAAGAAACTGGAGAAGGCGGAAGCCAGGCTGAAAGCCAAGCAGGACAAGAGGATGGAGCGGGATTCCCTGAAGTCATCTGGCCCTCTGTGAGTATGGAGGGTGCCTCAAACACCCCCATCCTGCTCTGCTGAGGGTGGCTGGGGTCTGGCTGCACGCCAGCAAGAAGGAGACTCGCATGGAGTCATCAGGCAAGAACAAGTCGTATGATGTGCGCATTGAGAACTTCGATGTGTCCTTCGGTGAGCGGTGAGTGCAGGTGGGGAGGTGGGGACAGATCCTGGCTGGGATTTTGGACCATGGGTCAATTGAGACTGGATTGGAGAGTGGTTGGGAAGTGACAGAGGGTGTGGGAAGGATCAGAAAGCAAGGTGGGCACCTGACCCTGTTGGCTTTGGGCAGGAGAAGTCTGCGATGGTTGCTTGGCCCCAGCGCAGCCTGAAATGTCCTGGGGGCAGGTGGCTGCCGGTTATTTCCCTCTCCATGGGGCAGTCTGACCAGGTACCTGCCTCTTCTCTTGCTTTAGTGTCCTACTGGCAGGAGCAGACCTGAACCTGGCGTTTGGACGGCGCTACGGACTGGTGGGCAGGAACGGGCTGGGGAAGACCACGTTGCTGAAGATGATCGCCAGCCGGAGCCTGCGCATCCCCTCACACATCAGCATCCTCCACGTGGAGCAGGAGGTGGCGGGGGATGAGACACCGGCGCTGCAGAGCGTACTGGAGTGTGACACCGCTCGGGAGAGCCTGCTGCGGGAGGAGAGGGACCTGACGGCCAAGATTAATGCCGGCAGGTGAGGTGCTGCTGCTGGGTTTCCAGCTTTTCTGTGGCTTCTTGACTGTGAGGTTTTGTTCTGAGGTCTCTCCCTTCAAACGGAGGGCTCCAGCAGGGCTGGGCTACATCTTGCCCACCTTAGTCCTGCTTGGGGAGATCAGCCTCCCCCAGCACTCAAACCCTGACCCCTGTCAGTCCCACATGCTCTTCTTTGTTTTGCCCCAGGGGAGAAGGGACAGAAGGTGCCAGGCTGTCAGAGATCTATGCGAAGCTGGAGGAGATTGAGGCAGACAAGGCCCCAGCGAGGTGAGGAAGCCCTGTGGGCACTGCTGTCTTGTGGGCATGGGCAGTGGTTTGGGGCATGGGGTATGGAAGGGTGATGCTGTGGCCCTGGGATCCAGCATGTGGGGACAGGGGGATCTCCCTACTGCTCACCTTGTCTCTTCTGTCACAGCTCTGCTGGGTTAGGAGTAGTCGAGCTTCCTCCCGAAGCTGGCGGGATTATTTCCCCTCCCACCCCCCATATGGCTTGCATTAGTTGCTGCTGCTCCTCTCTGACCTCCCCAGGTTCCTGGTGTCTGGGGAGCGTTTCTGGGATGTTGGTGGTAGTGACTTTCTTCCTGGCTAAAGAGCTGAAAGCTTCTTGTGAATCTTCTGGGACTTCATGTGGATGTGTGCCCTGCTGGGCTGCATTTCCTAGCCAAGTGCTGTTCTTGGGCGTGCAGGGAAATCCTCCCACACCAGGATGGCCTTAAACCATGCAGCAGATTCCCCACAGTGACTGTGGGTCTGAGACCTCAGACTGTGCTCTGACATTGGACGCTGTAGCTGGGTTCCAGTTCTCTCCCCTTTTCCCCAGGGCGTCCGTCATTCTCGCTGGACTGGGCTTTAATGCAAAGATGCAACAACAGGCAACCAAGTAAGTCTCCAAGTTCTGGGCATTGAGACAGAAATGGGACTGGGGAGATGCTTTTGCTAGTGAGCCCCCAGGCACTGCTGGGGCTGTAAGGGAGGGGTGCCCTGTGGGAGAGCGAGGGTCTATTCCTGCCCATCCAATGTGGTCTCCTGCCCTGGGGGTGCCAAGCCACCTGCCTGCTGGACCATGGATCTTGTGCTGCACCCGAGATCTCTGCAGGGACACGCCATCTCTGGGTGACAGCATGGCCAAAAAGGCTGTGGGGGAGCTGGGAGCCTGGCAGGCAGGCAGGCTGGCAAACACAAGAGTTGTTCTGCATTAAACAGTAACCCCTCTCTGCAACCTCTTCTCTCCTCAGAGAGTTTTCTGGAGGCTGGAGGATGAGACTGGCCTTAGCCAGAGCCCTGTTTGCCAGGTTGGTGTCCAGGCTTTCAAGCCATGAGTTAAGCCTCTTTGCTGTCCGTGCTGTGAGGTGCAGGGGTGCTGCCTAGAAGTCCTCTAGATTCAGGCTCTTGGGCTGGGGAGTGCTCTGCGAGTGTGGTGAAAAATGCTCTGCACTGACCCTGTGCTCTTTTTGCTTCTGACACCTGTGTCTTGTTTTTCTTAGGCCGGATCTCCTTCTGCTGGACGGTAAGTCGATACTGCGAGTCCCCTCCGACACTGCTGCTGGGCCTGCCTGTGCCCTTGCTGGGGTTGGTAATGTGCCGTGGCCTTTAGCTGCCTGCTTAAAATAGCCCTGTGTGACAGGGCCGGTGCTGGCAGGGGTGTCGGTGCTCCCCTGGCACAGCGGGCAGGGCTGGCGGTGCTGCAGGGAAGTCTGCTTGGGTGGCCACTCTCACTGCGCTCAGCAGAGCTCTGCCCTGTGTCCCAGCCGGGTGGCTCCAAACCTCCACCCCGGCCCAGCCGCCCAGCCCGGGGCTTTGCCTCGGCAGAAACCCTCTGCCCGGGGCACGGAGCAGAGCTGAAAAGTAAAGGAAACATTAAAAAGTGATTTTTTAAGTCCCCTGGGGAGGCCCTCACCTTGGGTGGGGGGTCTGGGCAGGGTGTTGCTGCTGGGCACTAAGGTCCGGGTACTGGTATGGAGTGGGGGGAGTCCCAGCCCCCTCAGCACACCCCATACATGTCAGTCCCCTGAGCTGTGGGGGCAGGTCCCCATGCAGGGTGTCTTCCTCCACCACGCTGATCACTAGCCTTTCCTGTGTAAAAAAGCATAATCCAGCTGCCCTCATCCTTCCTGACCCGAGTGCCTCTCTCCCTTCCCTCAGAGCCAACGAACATGCTGGACGTGAGGGCCATTTTGTGGCTCGAGACCTACCTGCAGGTAAGGGGTGGTGGGAGGCCCCAGGACAGAGCAAGGGTGAGGGATGGAGATGTCCTCCAGGCTGGTGTCTCACCTTGCTGAGTGGTGGGACCAAGCCGTGTGCTCTGCCTTGATGAAGCTTAGCTCCCCTTCTTGCTGTCTTCTCCAGACCTGGCAGTCAACCATCCTCGTAGTGTCCCACGACAGGAACTTCCTGAACGTGGTGGCCACGGATATCATCCACCTGCACTCGCAGCGGCTGGACACGTACCGCGGGGACTTTGAGAACTTCATGAAGATCAAGGAGGAGCGGCTGAAGAACCAGCAGCGAGAGTACGAAGCCCAGCAGCAGTACCGCGAGCACATCCAGGTACTGGGAGAAGCCAGTAGTGCTGGGGCACTCTTCTCCCAGCCTCGTCCCTTTCTCCATGCTTCTAGACCCATAGATGTGGCTCTGTTATTGCAGGAGGTTTGGCAGTAGAGTGGGGTGGGTGGGGCTGAAGGGAAACTGGAGCTCTCTGATGCTTTTCTCTCTTGTAGGTTTTCATTGACCGCTTCCGCTACAACGCCAACCGAGCATCCCAAGTGCAGAGCAAGCTCAAGCTGTTGGAGAAGCTGTGAGTGTCTTCCTGTTCCTCTCTGGAGGTGGGGAGGGGGCAGTGCTCATGGGAAGAAACAGAGTTTCCCAGGGTGCCTGGGAGATGCGGGGGTGGTATTGAGTTTGGGTGCTCTGTCACTGGTCCAGAGGCTTTGGCTAGGGTCAGGCGTTGCAGAGCTGACACCTTCTGGTGTGAGAGCAGACCCCCAGTGCAAGGCACCTTGGTTATGTGTCTCCTCTTCTTGCAGGCCAGAGCTGAAACCTGTGGACAAGGAGTCTGAGGTGATCATGAAGTAAGTGTCCCCTGAGCCCTTGCTTGGAAAGCACCTGGCTCCCTTTCTGATGTGAGCTCCTCCTGGGTCCTGTCCTGGCTGGGACAACCACCCCTTCCTGCGGGCCAGCCTTACTCTGACAGGGACCCCAGATGGGCTCCCATGTTCAGGCTGGGTTCCCTTCTGGGGCCAAGGCTACAGATCTGTGTCCCCTCTTGTGACCTCCCAGAGGCCCTGTGTGGTAGGGAGCCCCCCTTGCCATCTGGGGGGTTGCAGAGGTTGTCCCGGGGGGCTGGGAGCAGGGTCTCTGAAGTTCCTGGCCATCTCTCACCTTTTCCTGCCTTCCCAGGTTCCCCGATGGCTTTGAGAAGTTCTCCCCCCCCATCCTGCAGCTAGACGAAGTAGACTTCTATTATGACCCAAGTCACTACATCTTTCGTTCCCTCTCTGTCTCTGCTGACCTGGAGTCCCGCATCTGTGTGGTATGTGGGATTGCAGAATGACGGTGGCTGCGAGGGACCTTGGGAGGTCCCTGCTCAAAGCAGGGCCAGATTTGCTGTTAGGTCAGGTTGCTCAGGTCCTAGTCCAGTTGAATTCTGGATATCTCCAGGGAGGAGTATTTCTCCCATTCCTCTAGGTCCCATTGCAGCATTTGATCATCCTCATTTTGAGGAATATTGGAACGCTTTTCCTAATGCCAGTTAGAATTTGTGACTTGTCCCTGTTGCCCTTCATCCTTTCACCGGGTGCCTCTGGGAAGAGACTGGATCCATCTTCTCTGTGGCTCCCCGCTAGCTGACATCAGCAGTGTGTAGTGGGGGCTCCTGCTACACTGGGTGGGGCAGCAGAGATGCTATGTGCTTGCAGATGAGGCTGGGACCAGGTAATCCTTAGGCTCGAGTGTTGGGGAGGGAACATCTTCTAGCATTGCTACCTGTGCTGCTCGTCAGTGGTAGAAATGCAGCTCACAGGTAGCTGAAGTCTCTGGTTAGGCTCTCGTCCTGCCCTCCTCCACTCCGTGATCATCCGAGAGCCCTGAAATTCCCTGATCGCTGCCCCCCTCTCTGAAGTACCTTCATGGGTTTCACGTTCTCCAATGCTGCTGCTGCTTCTCTAGGTTGGGGAAAACGGAGCTGGCAAGTCGACCATGCTAAAGATCTTAATGGGGGAGCTGGCACCAGTCAGAGGGATCAGACATGCTCACAGGTACCTGGTAGGAAGGGCTGGGGGACTGGGAGGAATGGTGCAGTTGGAGGGCTTCTGGGCTGTGCTTTGGAGCGATGGCTGCCCAAGTGACGGGGATGGGTCCTGCACACCAATGCATACGGCCCCTTTCCTGTATCTGCAGCTGCAAAAGCACTGTGGTTGCGGGGCCTGGTACCAGCTCCCAATCTCTCTTGTCACTCTGCAGAAACCTGAAGATCGGTTATTTCAGCCAGCACCACGTGGATCAACTGGACTTGAACATCAGTGCTGTAGAGCTGCTGGCAAGAAAGTTCCCAGGTGAGTTTTGGAGAGTCCAGGAGATCTGGGCCATTGAGGTTCCCTTTGCCACGCACGGAGCAGCACTGATGTGTTCTGTGGCCCTGGGCAGAAGGGTCCGTCACGTTTGTGCTTAAGGGACTCTGGGTTAACTCCCACATCCAGCACAAATTTGGGACACCAGCCTTGAGAAGCTGAGCTGGTTGTGTGGGGGTGGCCGGCAGTCTGCAGACCTCAGGCTGGTGCTCCGCTGTGGCTGGGTTTTGGGGGCAGATACGTTTTCCTGCTGGGCACAGAATGAGCACCAGCTTCCCCTTTCCCAGCTGCCAAAACCTCCTGCTCCCTTTTCCGCTTAACATTATGTAACGCGGTGACAGGGAATTGGGGGCATTGTCACTTGGAGTCAGTCACCAGCCCTGCAGCCCCTGTCCCCATTGTGTCAGTCAGGTTTTCCCCGCAAAACCCCTGCTCGGGAGGGAATTGCCTGGAAGTGGCTGGGGGATTTCTTTC